ACAGGCATATCTTGGCGTTCCTGAAACCCACCAGCCTCAGTCTCAAGCTCAATCTCAGTCAAACAATCTTCTTTCTCAGCAGCAGCAGCAAGTGGTGGAGAATCATAATCCGCCAGCTTCCGGTGCTGCTATGTCTCAGTTTGGTTCTGCTTCTCAGTCCAACACGTCCCCACTTCATTCCATGAATTCTATGTGTCATCAACAAAGCTTCTCAGACACCAACGGAGGAAACAATCCGATTTCTCCGCTCCACAGTCTTCTCAGTAACTTCTCTCAAGACGAGTCTTCTCAACTGCTCAACCTCACTAGAACAAACTCTGCAATGACTTCATCCGGTTGGCCATCAAAACGTCCTGCTGTTGATTCATCTTTCCAACTCTCTGGAGCCGGTAACAACACTCAGTCCGTTATGGAGCAATTGGGACAGCCCCACACAAGCAACGTTTCTCCAAATGCTGTCTCCTTGCCTCCATTCCCCGGTGGTAGAGAGTGTTCGATCGAGCAAGAAGGAAGCGCCTCAGACCCTCACAGCCATCTTCTGTTTGGAGTCAACATAGATTCATCTTCCCTTTTGATGCCGAACGGAATGTCAAACCTTAGAAGCATTGGCATCGAAGGCGGCGACTCTACGACCTTACCCTTCACATCATCTAATTACAACAACGATTTCTCGGGTAATCTTGCAATGACGACACCTTCTAGTTGTATAGACGAATCAGGTTTTCTTCAATCCTCGGAAAACCTCGGTTCTGAGAACCAACAATCTAATACCTTTGTGAAGGTAAAGTAAAGTTTTTTTCTGTCATTTCCTCTTCAAAGTGTTTCATTTATTTGCACACAATATAGTGTGATGATTTAATGGAAAATGTTTTTGCAGGTGTACAAGTCAGGGTCTTTTGGCAGATCGTTAGACATAACGAAATTTAGCAGCTACCATGAGCTGCGAAGCGAGCTTGCTCGCATGTTTGGCCTCGAAGGCCAATTAGAAGACCCTGTGAGATCAGGCTGGCAGCTTGTATTTGTTGACCGAGAGAACGATGTTCTCCTCCTCGGCGACGACCCTTGGCCGTGAGTTGATTCTTTCCAACATTTCCGCTTTTTACACCCGCATTATCCGACTAATCTAAACCCCTGCCCTTTTGGTTCTTTTTTATCGACAAACAGGGAGTTTGTGAGCAGCGTGTGGTGCATCAAAATATTGTCACCGCAAGAAGTGCAACAAATGGGGAAAAGAGGCCTTGAGCTTCTCAATTCCGCTCCATCGTCCAACAATGTCGACAAGCTCCCGAGCAACGGGAACTGCGATGACTTTGGGAACCGGTCAGACCCGAGGAATCTTGGCAACGGTATCGCATCCGTTGGGGGTTCGTTCAACTACTAGAAAGTAGAAAGAAAAAAACCCTTTTGATTCAAGTTTTAAGTTTCAATCTTATGAAATTAGTAGTGATCCTCCTCTTAGTTTAATTTACTAGTAAAAATATCTCTCTTTGATTACTTAAGAAAAAGGGAGCTTTGCCTTTTACCTATGTGGAAACAAAAAAACTATATTAATCTCTTTTCACTATGTCGTAATACTGTAATTATAAGATCTTTTGGTCTTTTTTTTTTCTTTCTTAATGAATATTTTTTTACTTAAGTCGCTTATGTCATTTTCTTTACTCACTTCTTCCATCAATTTTGTGATAGTGAAGTGTTATTTTGGAGTTATATTAAGACTTTGTCTGACTCAATGGTCCACATAGAAAGTGATTTGGGTCCCAATTCCTTATTGGAAGTGAAAGCGTTTTGTGTTTTTGTTGTGTGAAACACCGAAATATTCCGACCCGCAATTTAGGGCTTTTCCCTAAAATTAGATCTCATTTTGCGTCAGCAAAAACCTTTTATCTCTTGACACGTATCGATCCGTAGTTCGTAGGACAATTTTATTGGTAGGTTAAATTAATATTATGCCCTAACGTTTATATATAAGAGTAGCATCGGAAAAACAAGGTTCTAGGAAAGTAGTTTGAGTTTTCACCCAAATATAAGGAAAAATAAACAATTTTTTTTTTTTTGTAGAATATTAAGTTCTTATTAGGTTACAACTTACGTTTGCCTGAGTTATAATGAATAGAATATCATAACATGGAAACGCAACATACAAACGTAAAAATGCAAAGAAACAATTAAACTTTAACAAGTTGAAGTCGTTTTTATAATTGATCGAAGTTGTTGTGAATTTGGGAATAGCTAGCAAGATAACATTTTATTGTTGGGTTTTATTAGAATGGGATTTGGTAAGCTAAGAATTGGGTATCATTCGGACTATAATCATTTATGATTTGCCAAACTTGATATTTGGTTGTCCATTAGGAGAATAGAGTGATCATCTAATGTAAAGACATGCATGTTTTTATAAATGTTTTCTTAAAGTCAAATAAGTAACAAATTTGATAAAGATATATTTGTAAGTATATGGTTTTTTGGTGTGTGTGTGGTGGATGAATGTGATTCACATATGTGGGACTATATATTCTAAGTAAGAAAAATTGGGAATGGTTGAAAATAATTTTGGGTGCATGTGGTAGGGACATTTATAGATGACACAAGTTAGGGCACTTTCATGAGCCCTAATTAAATAGTGTATGGTGACCCATCATTTTGAAAGTTCTCGCCTTTCTTTTTTCTCTTCTTTCTTTCTTTTTTTACCTTTTTTTTTTAATTTCTAAAAGTTGTTTCTTCTATTTACAAAATCAATTATTAATTTTGATTATTCAAAGGATATTGTAGCCATTCATTACATGGTTAAGAATAAATTCAAATGAAGATCTAAGAACATAGCTTTGCCTATCTACATATAGAATCATGTCTTTTCTATGTCATAACTACATTTTTAATTTTATCGGAGTTTTCATGACGTTAATATCTAGATTTCATGGTATAGTGAAAAGTCTTGTTTCTTTAAATTAAGTTTCAGAAGCAAGCTAAACGTGAACGGCTAAAATGCTATAAAAATCTCTTGTGTTTCCGAAGCAAGATATCCTGTGTTTTTATTTTATTGATTTCAATATGATCACTATAAAGATCTCTCGCAAATATTGTATTTAATTTTGGTTGGATTGCACGTTTAAAATATGAGATAAAAAAGATTTTAGAAATTGATAATTCAAACTTGGAATAAGAGTTACCACCGGCCTCGAAGTATAACTCCAACTAAAAGATACATGGAAATTAAAATGAAAATAGCCAAAAGAAGCTTTTAGCAATAAGGGTTTTAAGTGGATATGTAATTTGTTTTTGTTCGACCACTATTTTCTTATTTATCTTCTTTAAAAACGACGACCAGAAAACGTCAAATGTGATATTATTGGTTGACGAAGCACCTTTTTGATTAAAGTAAATAAAAAGGTACTTTTATGAGTTATAAGACGAAAGAAAAAAAATATTATTTGGACCATCCTTTCATTACTAACTACTGTTTACCATTTTACCGAGTAATCCCTTTAAGACATATTTGGTTTTTGTGTAAGGATGGTTTTATACGATGACGCAACCATGCATTGTTAATAACCACTATGAAGTATGAACTAATCTTTTATGGACTTTGGAGTGACGTTTTCAGTCATTTGTGACACTATTATATAATTAAGATTTATATCGGTAATACCACTGATTTTTTTCAATTGTCTTTTGCATTACGATTTATTGTTTATAGTAAATGTATATCATTACCTTTAAATAGACAATTCAATCTGCAACACACGTAATTACGATAAACGATCCAATCGAGGTTAAAGAATAAGTATGTATGTTGTCCACATGATGGTTGGCGGGCCCAG